CACAACTGAGCCACACTGCTCAGGGCTAGAGACTTTCTTAAAACCGAAGGCTGGAGGGTAAATGGAACTAAACTAGACAAGGCACTTAGAAACCAGTTAGAAAAATTTTATATGAATCCAAACAAACAAAGGAAGGGAATTAGAATAAGGTATGCTCTATGTGTGTAAAAAATGAAAAATAGACTTTAAACAACTCAGAAATCCTATTAAAAAACCTATGCAGGGTGGATATGGGGATTTAATAAAAAGGAGTATCAAAAATAACTCACTGCAAAACTCCAGGCTTTTTTGCTTGGTGGTATCATTCACTAGGAGTATGAAAATAAAGAATGTTCTGAAGAGGAAGATGTAGGGTAAATGAAGGCAGTCTGGCTTCCTCACCCAGATGTCTGGGCAACTAAGGAAAGCAGTTTTCCATAACCTTGAGAATGGGCCTGATAAGTACTGTTCTAGCCTTGAGACTGGGTTTGATAAGTATTTCGATAGCCCTGAGTGAATTCACATGCACAGAATCTTGCTGTGTTTATAACCTGTTTTGGCTCTCTGCTGGCTTTGTTTCTTTTCAGTACTTAAGGGGGTAGGGACTCCCTGCTGGGTGCCACACTGGGTGCCACGCAGCAGGACAGGTGACATGCAGTGTGATGTGCAGTAACACATGCAGGGGCACATGCAGCTTGCAGCATGCATGGCTCATTCTTGAATAAAGGCATGTCGAACATCCCCACAGCTCTGTGGATATTCTTCTGTCTATCCAAATCTTGTGAACCTGTCAGTCCTAGAAGGGTCACAACACAGAAGATGTTGAGTTCCATTTCATGTAAGGCCAGTTCAAATGGCAGCTGGATGAATATTTGGTGGTGGAGAACTTTAGGGAAACAATTCAAAGCAAAATTGCAGACGGCTAAGAAGTTAGAAGTTGAAGCAGATAGTGTAGACTCCTCTAAGCAGCTTTGGAGGATATGCGGGAAACTGATAGCTGGTTTGATCAATGGTTATGGTTTGACAGAATGATCATCTTGGAAAGTGAAGTGAAGTAATAGTTTGCCACAAGAGTGTGGTGGAAATATTTCTGTATTCAATGTGTAAAGTGAAGCCAAGAGAACCTAGGACCCAGACCAGTGATTCTTAAACTTGATTGAGCATCAGAATCACACGAAGGCCTCATTAAGCCACAGATGACTGGGCTCCACACCAGAGCTTCTGATTCGGAAGGTCTGGGATAAGGTCCAAGAATTTGCTTTTTTTTTTTCATTGTTGTTCAAGTACAGTTGTCCCCATTTTCCCCCCATTACTCTTCTGTGCCCTACCCACCCTCACCTCCCACATTCAATACTCCCCCCACCCCCTCACTCCTATTGTTGTCTTTGTCTATGGGTCCTTTATACGTGTTCCTTGACTTGACCTTTCCCCTTCTTCCCCCCATCCCCATTATGCCCCTTCCCCACTCCCCTCTGGTCACTGTCCATTTGTTCTTTATTTCCCCGTCTCTGTTTAGAAATTGCATTTCTAACATGCTCCCGGATGCTGATGTTGCTGATCTGGAGGCCCCGCCTTGCAAACTACTGGCCTAGACAATCTTTGGCTTTGAAAGGCTTGACTGTACAACAGTAGGATGCTCTCTATACAGATCTTCCAAACAGCTCAAAGTTAAGATGTGAGTGAGATTTTAAATTACTTCTTCTCTAAATATTAAAACCTATTTCAAATTTCACTATATAAAAATATTTCTCAAGTGTGTTGTATGTCATTATAAACATACATATTACATAGAATTTAATGTTGCCCTGGCTGGCTCAGTTGGTTGGAGCATTGTTCTGTGAACCAAAATGCTGTGGGTTCAATTCCTGGTCAGGGCACATGCCTATGTTTCAGTTTTGGGCGCATAGGCAAGGGAACCAATCAATGTTTCTCACACTGATGTTTCTCACTCTCTCTGTCTCCCTCTCTACCCCTCTTTCTAAAATCAATAATAAGCATGTCCTCCAGTGAGCATTTAAAAAAAGAAGAAGAAGAAGAAAGAAAGAATGCCTTATACAAAGGGGGACTGAAAAACCCCGAATTTATTTATTAAAAAACTGTGTATTTATTCTTATATGTTTAGACTTTAGGCACCTTCAAAGTACTTTCCATTTGATGCAATACACCTACTGAGACTTTTTTTCCACTGCTCTAAAGTTTTTTAAAAATTTTATTTTAATTGTTGTTCACGCTGTAAAGTTTTTGAACTTGTTGATTTATTTTGATGCCTTTTAGTGCTTCTGCCTGGTTTCCACCCCCCACCTCTTTCACATTGGCATAATGTTCTGCTTTGAGGACGTTTCATTGGGGAAACAAGAAAAAGTCGCTTCAGGCAAGAGCAGGTGAATAGGGAGGGTGGGGCACGGAGATCATGCTATTTTTGATCAAAAAACTGCTAAACACATGGTGCTCGTAATCACCCATCATTAAATAGGCAAATGTGTTAAAAAAAAAAAACTCAACTGGAGCTGAACACAGCTTCTCACAACAACACCACTTAGTTCACTGATACTGATGGGTTCCTAGAACACAACCTAGCAGGGGAAGACTTTACTTACGAGGGGCCTGAACTCCAGAAGAGAATTCTGTTTTTTTTTAGGGGGGGGTCCCCTTGTATCATCTATTTTCTCATACCTTTAAAAATTATAGAATAACTCTTAACTATTCTTATTGTTTGAGAAATATTTGGTTTCCAAACTTATTATAAATAATAATATTATGTATCACTTAAAAATTTTTATTATGGAAAATTTAAGACATACATATAGAAAGAACAAAATAATGAACTATCTATATACCCATCTTCAACAGATTTTTAACTGTTACCCTATATATTTTCCACATCCCCATATTATTTTGAAGCAAATCCTGGATAGCCTATCATTTCGAGTGAAAATATTTCCTCTATTATTCTTCGTTCACAGATACTTCCTTAGGCTAGATGCTGAGTAGAATCTGTGGGCTCAAAGGGAAAGAGTTGGTAAAAAGCATTTCATGTAAATGGCTAATTGATTTCTCTATAGATTTATACCAGTTTATACATTCAGCAACAGATTTGTGAAAGAGATATAAAAGTCTGAGTTCACAAAAATGGCTGCTGATTGTTCAGATTAGTTTTTGGCATACTTAGAAGATTCTCATCATGATCCTCTTACATATTGGTAATTTTTTTTAAAAAGCGATGTGACTATCTAATATTATTTGACCAGTGACTTAAGTCATACATTATTTACTGGCCATTATTTTAGTGATAACTAACTATAAGACAGTCTGTGGAAATGTTATTTCTTTTTGCTAAAGGTACTTTATAGACTGAAGAAACAGAAACTATATAAATATGTTGAATTAATAGCCCTGATTTTTGCAGAAATAAAAATAATAAAATTTGAATGCAAGAAGGAGGAGAGAACCACTATCTTAGAGCAAAGCCTCTGGCAGCTGGTAGACGCTGAACAGTTCTATGAGTGACTGGGTAAGAGCAGTCATTTTCAGGAATGGAGATCTTCCTATAGTTAATAGGCCAGATGCAAAGTAAGGTTACATGGGAAGATGGAAGATGGTGGTTAAAGTAGAACTTCAGTGTTTGGATTCAAAGAAGGAACAATTTTAGGTGAAGAAGGTCCAGGATTGACCCTGCCATGGGGATGATGGGAGGTCAAGGAATTGAGAGTTGCAAGGATTATCAAAATGGATCATATCTGGCAAAGGCTTGAGTCTAAAGGGAAGCTTCAACAGAAATTCAAGATCTGAAGAGGACTCTGGCTACTTTCTGGGCCTGAATTATATAAAGGTGACTGCATCTATACCTACAGACATTGTGACCCACCCATGTTAATGCACCAATACAGGTAACAAATCTATGAGAAGTCTATAACTGTGCCAGCTCTGCCTACTCATCCTTTAAGTAAGGTTGAGCTAGGTCCCAGGCTTCTGTGGAGGAACTCTATCTAGGGTAGAGATCACAAAATCTGAGGATTTCAGCCTTATGAAGAAGCAATTTGCCTGAGGCCTGCCCTAGGGATTGGGATCAGCAAGGTTGATCAGGAAGGTTGACAGGTTGGCTGCTGATTCTAACTGGCTTGCAAAGGATTAAAAATTCCACTAGTTAGAACTTGTACATGTTAGGTTCGATTCCCAGTCGGGCCATACACCTGGGTTGCAGGCCACGGCCCCCAGCAACCACACACTGATGTTTCTCTCTCTCTCTTTCTCCCTCCCTTCCCTCTCTAAAAATAAATAAATAAAGTAAAATAAAATAAAATAAATATTTGCTAAAAAAATCTAGCTTTCAAGTTAAATATCTTAACTCTCTTTAAAAAAAAAGAACTTGTACATGTTAAATGATTTTTTACCCTTTATAGTTTCCCCTTTACAGCTTTACAGGAGCAATGCTCACAATAGCTTTCTGGGGTATGACTCTGATTAGGTCTTAGATTATGGCCACCCTCAGCATGTCTTCCTTACATACTGCTGGTACTGAAAAGCTTGGGGCCCAAGGTTCTGCTTTCACTGCTTAACACCTGTGCAAACTTCCACAAAGATACTTCCTCCCCCAGCCTCAGTTTTCCCACTTGTAAAATGCCAATAATTATAGTACACTACATAGGGTTTTTGTGAGGATTAAATGAGGTAGTTAATGTAAAACACTGGACACACAGTGAGCTCCCTATAAATACTAGTTATAATTTGTTACATTGTCCAATACGGGTCCTTGTCAATACCTCTACGTGTGTGTGGCTTACGGTGCTGCAGTTTCATTAACTGTTGCGTGCGCTCTTTTCCGCGGATCTGCACAGCAGCCTGACCATTTTTTCTGGATAGACAGCGCTTGGGAATGTTGATGACTTGCTACGTTTGAGCATAGAGAGCCGGAGGACGGACCGCGCAGCCGCAGGAGAGTTTGTAGTGCTGCCTGCCGGCGGTAGGGTGCAGCTGAGTGCTTCTGGCCTCGCCCCGCCCCCTGGGGCGTTGAGGAAGTTAAGGTTGCGTAGGATCCACCGCACGTCACGTCGCAGTTACCCACATTTGGGCCGATGGCGCCGGCACAGCGCTGCGCGCTGTGCCGTCAGACCTTCTTCTGTGGTCGCGGCCACGTCTACAGCCGCAAGCACCAGCGGCAGCTGAAGGCGGCTTTGGACCGGCTCCTACCCCAGGTGCGGCCGGTAGGCTGGAGTGGACCCCTGACGTACTGGGGTCAGGGATGCGGGCGACTCAGTGAGGACCCAAATGGGTGGGATCTGGGGGGTCTCGCTTGTGTTCCCACTTGGCCCCTTCCCGGTTACACTCTCTCCTGCAGGTGGAGGCCGCTCGCAGGGCCATCCGCACAGCTCAGGTGGAGCGTTACATGCCCGAGCACGATCGGTGCTGCTGGTGCCTGTGTTGCAGCTGTGAGGTGCGGAAGCACCTAAGTCACGGAAACCTGACAGTGCTGCACGGGGGGCTGCTGGAGCACCTGGCCAGGTGAGATTCGGGCCAGGACCGTCATCGAGCACGTTCGCATACATACATGGGAGAGAGGATTTAGGGTAGCTGAGAGGAGGAACGCTTTTGCGATGTGATTAGGGTCGATTAATTGTCACCTCATAGGCGTTGCCTACCTCAAGGGATAGAGGGCTTTTGGCTGCTGTGGTCCCAGTGGTGTTGGTGGTCTAACTAGAAAAGCCATCAGGGCAGCTATCTCAAGGTTAACTCCCAACACCTCCTCTTAGACTCTCTCACATTTTTATTGGAAAAGGGAGACTGGAAATCTGGAAGAGACTACTAATTAACAGTATTTCTCTCTCAGCCTTGCCCAGAGGCAGAAATCCAGACATCAGTTTGCATTACTTATTTTTTGTCCTAAGTATCTGAGTAATGGTCTATAATCTATCATTGAGATTACATACTCTCCATTCTCAGCCCAGAGCACAAGAAAGCAACCAACCGATTCTGGTGGGAGAACAAGGCTGAGGTTCATATGAAAGAGAAGTTTCTCATCTCCCCTCAAGATTATGCACAGTAAGTCACTGCTTATGAAAGATGAAGTACCAGAGTGGGAATTCTCTGGATATGTGTCAAGTACAGGAGTTTCCTCTATTAATTGGAAAGTTTAGTAAAGACTTCATAAGTATTTGTTTTCTTCATAGCACTCATTATTCTAGGTACTATATTGGACGCAAAAGAAGTATGATAGCATCTTTGAAAGGTTTATAATCTAATTGGGAATTGGATTTGCAATGCATTTAGCAAATAGAGAACAATATATAGTAAAAGTTGACTAATCGACTACTTAAATGTGTGGCACTATAGGAGACCGTTCTGAATGGCATGGGCCAGCTTACACTCAGAAGCCTAGGCATGGGAATGTAACCTGCAACCTCTCGTTTCACAGAACAGTGCTCCAACCAACTGAGCCCCTCTGGCCAGGGTTCTACTCTTCATAGTTTTAGACTCTATTTGAACTGGCCTGTGGAGGACCCTCAGAAACAAGTGCAGGAAGCTGGTCAGCACAGAGGGAGAATGAGCCCTGACTGCCTCAAGAAGACAACACAGGCAGCCTCAAGACACCACTTTTATTAGGACCATATTGAGATTATGGGATGTGTAATCCAAGGGGATCTCAGAGCTAAAGTTACAGAGAAACTCATGGTATCTATTATTCCTTTCTGCTCAGTGTGGAAAATAATGAGGGAATGATAAGAAATGCTTAAATCCCACTACCGTGCCTTCAGACCTGTGGTTCACACTGGGAGGAAATGGGAATCTGAGGACAAAAGCCACTCACTCCTCATACCCTGACCTAGTGTCATATGATTTTGGTGGGTGAATAAAATATAGTTGAGCAGAAAAGTTTAAAATTGAGAATTATGAGGATGGACTCTTGAAGCTTTTATTTAAATGTAGTTTTCACTTTTAACCCTATAAATTTCCAGCAGACATACACATACAAGACCATACAAGGACAAGCCTGACTGACAAATAATGATAAAATGAGCCACTTTTAGGTTCAGACAGTTTATTACTTAGAGACAGCAAAAAGAGTAAGCCCAACTGCCAGCTTCCCAGGTCCTTGTTCCACATGCCAAAAAGGACCAGGCTGAAACCAAAAGGATTAGGTGACCTCAGGATGAGTTGTTGGGAGTTGCTGGGGAGCCAAATGTAGACTGTAGGTACATGGTTTTAAAGTGTGCAGTTCTAGTCTGAGAGGGGCAGGACAGAAAGCCCCATAACTTCTTCAGAACTCCAGAGCTGATGAGAAGCTGTTTCATTATAACCGAACATAGTGCTCACCGCCTGCCACAATGAAAGTCAAACTCGTGAGACAAGGTGTTAGTGAAAAGGAAAGAGGTTTATTGAGTTGAGATGCCAGCAAACTGAGAAAACAGGCACTCTTGTCTCAAAGCTCATCTTAACATCTCAGTGCAGGCAGAGGGTGCAGGCAGAGGTTTTTATAAGGAGGAAGGAGGAAAGCAGAACAAAGAAATCAAGGGAGAGGGAGATTGAAAAGTTCTCTACATGCAGACCAGCACAGTCCATTTTTAAAAAAGATTTTTAAATTTATTTTTAGAGAGGGGAAGGGAGGGAGAAAGAGAGGGAGAGAAACAGCGATATATCATTGCCTCTTGTGCATCCCCTACTGGGAACCTGACTCACAACCCAGGCACGTGTCCTGACTGAGAATCAAACCAGTGACCCTTTGATTTCCAGGCTGGTACTTAAGCCACTGAGCCACACCAGCCAGGGCCCATTTATGCTTCTTAATCCTATCACCTTTTTTCCCATCTGCCAAACACCCCTCTCATCTGGCAGCCAACAAAATGTTCTCTGTATCTATAATTCTATTTTTGCTCTTCTTGTTTCTTTGTTTTTTAGATTTAATTTTTGACAGATTTGTATTTATTGCCATTTTATTGTTCATATATTTTAATATTTTTTAAAAGATTTTATTTTTTGCCCCTGGCTGGCGTAGCTCAGTGGATTGAGTGCGGGCTGGGAACCAAAGTGTTCCAGGTTCGATTCCCAGCCAGGGTACATTCCTGGGTTGCAGGCCATAACCCTCAGCAAACGCACATTGATGTCTCTCTCTATCTCCTTCACTTCCATCTCTAAAAATAAATAAATAAAATATTTTTTAAAAAGATTTTATTTTTCTATAAAGGACACATGGACAAAACCAAGGGGGAGGGTGGAAGCAAGGAAGGCAAGTGGGTTTGGAAGGGATGGGGAGGAGGCGGGGGAGAAAATACAACTGTAACTGAACAATAAAATAATTTAAATTAAAAAAAAGATTTTATTATTTAGTTTTAGAGAGAGGGGAAGGAGGGTGAACGAGAAGGAGAGAAACATTGATTGGTTGACTCTTGCATGTCTCCAACTGGGAATCTGGCCTGCAACTCAAGCATGTGCCCTGACTGGGAATTGAACCGACAACCCTTTGGTTTGCAGCCAGTGCTCTGTCCACTGAGCTACACCAGCCAGGGCTATCTTCATTTTTTTAAATTCATTTTTCTTCTTGCTGTTCTGATTGGTTGTTTTTTGCTTCTTTATATTCCACATCACTGATTTGATTCTTGGCTTCATCCACTCTATTGTTGTTCCCCTATAAACTTTTCTTCATTTCAATTAGTGTGTCCTTCATTTCTGACTAGATCTCTTTTATGTTGTTGAGGTCCTCACTAAGTTAATTGAGCATCCTTATAACCAGTGTTTTGAACTCTACATGTAGTAGATCGTCTCCATTTTGTTTAGTTCTTCTTCTGTAGTTTTGACCTATTCTTTCTTTTGAGTTGTTTCTTTGTCTCATTTTGGCAGCCTCCCTTGTGTTCATTTCTATGTATTATGTAGAGTTGCTTATGTTTCCTGGGCTTGGTAGAGTGGCTTACTGTCATGTCCTATAGAGTCCAGTGGTACAGTGTCCTCTATTACCCAAACTGGGTAATCAAGGTGCACCCACCATGTGGGCTGTGTACACCACCAGTTGTAGTTCAGCCTTGATTGTTGTTGGCACTTCCAGTGCCAGCCACCCGCTGTGTTTTGTCCAGGGTCACACAGCATAAGCTCAAAACAACCTGCAGATGGCTCTACTTGTGCTGGACTTGGAGTTGCCCAGATGAGGCCATGCTGTGACTCAAGGCCAACTGCTGCCAGTGCTGGGCCTGGGGCAACTTAGTGAAGGGTATGGGGCTTGCTGAAGCCAGATGCTGCTTGTTTGAGAGAATTTAGGAAAATCTGGAGCATGGGCCAAGATATACCATTTATATGGAAAAGCCACTAGAAACAGCTTGGGCAGGCCTGAAATTTGGTTGGGGCCAAGCCTTGGGGAATCATCTGGGTAAGGCAAACAGTGATAGCCAGGTTGGTGCAGTCTCAAATATGGTGCCTTCTGCTGGCTGTATGGCTCTGTTCAGGGCGGGCTCAGGAAACGAACAATGGCTTTCACCAGCACTTCTGTCTGGGAGAAAGCTGGCCCCAGCTCTCGCCCTGATACCAGACAATTTAGTTCCTCGCCATATGTCTCTGATGCCTTTCAATCAGGTGCTCTTGCACTGGAGCTCCGAGGGCATGAGTCCAAGTAAGTCTATGTGCTGGCCCTTTAAGAGGATCTTCCTGGGATTCCAGAAGTTTCTGTCTTCCACACCCTCAACCCCCACTATTTTTTACAGCCAGAAGTCACAGAGACTTATCTTCCTGGCACTAGAATCCTGGTCTGGGGGGCCTGATGTAGGGTGGGGACCCCTCATTCCTGAGATATCCCTCCCAATTTTTATCTGCTACACGCAGATGTGGGACCAGCCCATTCTGCATCTTTGCCCTCTCCTAGCAGTCTCAATACTGTTTCTTCCTTATTTCCATAGTTGTAGGATTTCCACTCAGCTCAATTTCTGACAATTCTGAATGATGGCTGTTCAATAGTTAGTTGCAATTTTGATGTGGTAGTGCAAGAAGACTATAGCTGTGTCACCATCTTGACAGGAAGTCTGTACTTCTTAATCCCTTCACCTTTTTTACCTGTTCCCCTTAGCTCTTTGTTTCTAAATACTACTTTCTACCAAAAGGAACTAGATCTCATTGGAAAAGTGGTCGATTTCAGGCTTGGTGCAGGGAAAGTAGTACATGGTGAGACCATGGAGTGGTCCAGAGGACAAAAGAGCTGGTTTGGAGGGTTTCTCACTGCCAACATATGGGATAATTTCAATATCAAAAATAGTAATTGATTTTCTTAAATGTGAGAATGGTTTCATGGTTTAATAGACTGTTTCTATTCTCAAGAGATGCATGCTGAAATATTTAAAGTCAAGTGTTATAATGTCTACAGCCCATTTTTGTTCTGGCAAAAAAGGAAATACATGTATAAAAGAGAAGTGGAGCCAGTATGGTAAAATGTTAACAGTGAATCTGGATGACATAACAAGCTGTTCATTGTACTATTTTCTTTCTATGAATTTAAAATGACTCAAAATTTAAAGAAAAAAATTATCTACTGAGGATCTTTTCACAACTGGCAGGACTTGGGCTAACTTGCCCTTTTTCTTTTTAGATTCAAGAAATCCATGGTGAAAGGTTTGGATTCTTATGAGGAGAAAGAGGATGAAGTGATCAAAGAGGTTAGTTAAAGGAAAGGCCTCTGAAGGACCCATCCCCCATGATCTTGTACCTAAGCAGCCTTTCTCCCACAGATGGCAGCTCAGATCCGTAAGGTGGAGCACAGCCAGCAGGAGGTGGTTCGATCCGTTTTAGAGGTTGGTTTCCCTTGGAGAAGCCAGAGCAGTATCCAAATCCACTGATTCCTGCTTCTCCCAGGTCCAACATTTCACCTATCAGCTCTAAGAAAACTCATCATCCTCATGGTTCATCTGCTCTGCTTGAATTCCCTTACCTGTGCATCAGGGGGCAGGTCTTGTCAGTGGACAAGATGTGGACAGGGCTGGAATGGGAGAGTTTACAAGATGGGCAGTACCCTCCATAAGCCAATTTGTTTCCTTTTGGAGGGTGGGAGCATGGCCTAGGCAGACTCTTAAGCATCCTAGACACATTTATTTTTCCTGAATCAAACTCAGCCTCAGGCAGTGCCAGACCCAGAAGAGGGCTCTTCGGCACCTGGAAGCTGGAAAGGGACTAACAGGTAAGTAAGAGAATCTCTCGTTGGGAATTTAACCTGTTAGAGCATTCTGTAAATTTTTAGTGGGAATAAGGGAACAAATGTCATCTTGGCTATCCTCATGGCTCAAGGACCTCCTCAGCCAGCCTGGCTCCTGTTTGTCTTTTTCAGCCAAGTAGCACCTACCTCACAGAGACCCTCATACTTGGACCTGCCACCAGCCCAAGAGCTTGACTGGATGGACACAGGACAACCTCTGACATTCATTGGCCACCAGGTATAATGGATAAGCCAGCCAGGAAAGAGTCACTGACCCATCAACATCAAGAACACCCATCTCTCCTGGGTTTCCTACCCATTCTTGCCTTCTCTGTGGGCTTTTCTCTCTTGCTGTAGTGTTCCATAGTATATAGTGTTTTCAGACATCTTTGCTAACCCTCCAACCATGCTTACTGCCCCCACCGCCACTTAGAAGGGCACCAAAACCTAAACTGCATCCTCTAGAGAACCCACAGTTACAGCTTAATACACTTATAGATATCCCACAAGTATCTAAAATTACCCCCCTCCTATATTTCCAACAACTGTAGATGTAGATCCTTATCCCATCCATCTTCCACATGCTAGTATGTCTACTTTACCTTAATACAAGCTGGCCCCTTAGAATAATTCCTACTCTTCCCTGCAATCCTGTTTTAAACAGTCACTTTAGTCATCTTTAGTCTACATTCCAGCTGTACTGTGCTTCCTTTTTGCACATGCAGTTGCTATTGCCAATACCATGTACCGCATTGTGCTGTATATGTTCCCATATATAATACACACATTTTTGTGCACATTATACACGAATTATACCCTTGTACAATGCACATCCTTATTTTTCCCTCAAAATTTTGGGCAAAAAAGTGCATATTATACATGGCAAAATACAGTATGCTGTGAGGAAAGGGTTTTTTGTTCACCTGGCATATAGTTGTTACAGCTCCACTATTAAGACCATGAGTCTGAGGGCAGGACTTTCAGTGATTTATTGTGTTTTAAACTTATTTTGAGAGAGAGGGGAAGGGAGGGAGAAAGAGGGAGAAGCATTGATGTGTGAGAGATGTATCAATTGGTTGCCTCTCACATGCCCCCAACTGGGAACCCAGCCGGCAACCCAGGCATGTGTGTCAGAGAATCAAATTGGCAACCTTTCGGTTTGTGGGCTGGCACTCAATCCACTGAGCCATACCAGCCAAGGCCTATGCTTTTTTTTTTTTTTTTTTTAATACAGTAAGGATGAAATAAAAGATAAAAATATATTCTATTTATTTTTAGAGGGAAACCCTGATGTGTGAAACATCTACCAGTTGCCTCTTGCACACATACCTCCAACTGGGAACCTGGCCTACAACCCAGGCATGTGCCCTGACCAAGAATGGAACCTATGACCTTTCTGCTTGTGGGTGATCCCCAAACCATACCAGTCAGGGATACTGTTTTTAAGTTTTTAGACAAGAGGGGAAAGAAAGGAGGTGTGTGGTTGCCTCTCATGTGCCCCCTACTGGGGACCTGGCCTGCAACCCAGACATATGCTTTGACTGGGAATCAAACCAGTGACCTTTTGGTTCTCAGGCTGGTGCTTAATCTATTGAGCCACACCAGTCAAGGTCTACTGAACTCTTAAGGTTTAACCTGAACAGCGTGTAGAATTGGCATTGTGGCACCAATTCCATCTCCTATAGTTTGCCTTTCTCTAGCTATGAGTATCCTATCATATCATGGCTTTCTACATCTAGGATTTCCCCCCCCCCCCATTTCCAACTACAGGACATACCAGGAGTTGGCAACATCCACTCAGGTAAGGCCCAGGGCAGTATTTCTCAAAGAGTAAGAGGCAATAAAAAAAGGGGGGGGGGTAATTAATTTTAGAGAGGAGTAAAGGGTGGGAGAGAGGAACTTCAATGAGAGAAACATCTGCTGTCTCTTGTACACACAACTTGGGTCCAAACCTACAACCCAGGCATGTGCCAACTGGGAATCTAACCAGTGACCTTTTTTCACTTTGTGGGATGATTGATAATGCAACTGAACCATGCTGGTCAGGGCGAGGCAATTATGCATTCTTTATCCCCAGCCCAGCCCTTCCCATCTCCCTCCCATTTCCACCCCCCCTTGTTTTTTGTCCATGTGTGCTTTATACTTGTTCCTGCATATTTTTAAAGTTGAACTGCTTCTTTGCCTTTTGGCTAAGTGTAGTTATCTGATAAAAGCTTAATATGTCCTCTATCTGAGGACAATATATTAAATGGCTTTTTGGAACAGGGAGTTGGAATAGGAGGTTGCTCTATCCACTCTGCATCAACCTGGTATTGCAATACATCTGAGAAAGGTGCACCAGAAAATTTTAAAAAACTGATTAAGATAAAGCACCTAACTGCAATCTAGCTGTCCATTAATAGATGAAGGTATGAAGATGTGATACACATACAATGGAATGTTACTCAGCAATAAAAAATAATGAAATCTTGCCATTTGCAACAAAATTGATGGACCTAGAGTATTATGCTAAGTAAAATAAGATAAAGACAAATACCATTATGATCTCATGTGAACTCTAAAGAAACTAAATGAATAAACAAAACAGATTCATTGAGAATAAGCTGATGACTTCCAAACAGTAGGAGGTTGGGGGATGAAAATGAAAATGGAAAAAAAAAAAGCACTATCTGATGAAGGACTTGGATCCTGCATATATCAACAACTCAAAATTCAATAAAGGCACATAAAAAAAAAAGATGCTCATCAGAATGGCTAAAATTAAAGACTGAACATGGACATGTAAGAACTCACTCAGTTGCTGGTGGAATGTAAAATGGCACAACCACTTTGGAAAACAGTCCAACAGTTTCTTAAAATTAAACATTATTTATGATCAGCCATTCTAAGAAAAAAGGCTTATACACAAATTGTAGCAGATTTTTAGCAGCCCCAAACTGGAAACAATCCAAATATGCCTCAACAAATGAATGGGATAGTACTCAACACAGATGAAAAACTCAATATAAACTGCATATGTCAAGTGCCTTAATTCTGCCTACCATGCCTTTCTTTTCCAGGAGTCACACCTCCCTGGGTGGTCCAAGATGAGGAATTTAGCTCTGGGAATCAACAAATAGGACCCTCCTATGAAGAATTTCTCAAAGAAAGTCAGTAAACTAATTCAAGAATGGCAGTGAGGTCTTCTTTAAATCTTCCTACTCAAATAAACCATTATTTACTTCTCATTACAGAGGAAAAACAGAAATTGAAGAAACTGCCCCCAGACAGAGTTGGGGCCAACTTTGATCATAGCTCCAACACCACTGCAGGGTGGCTGCCCTCTTTTGGCCGGGTCTGGAATAATGGACGCCGCTGGCAATCCAGGTATGGGTCCTGTGCCTGGACCCCAACATACCACCCCTTTGGAAAATCTCTCACTTTTGTCCTGTTAACCCTTCATTTCCTTTCAGGCATCAATTCAAAGTTGAAGATGTAGCAAGGAACAAACAGCAGTCACACAAAGAAAAAAACTAATGGTTTCCTGGTAGTTTTGCAACAACCACAGTCAGCAAACCCACACCTGCTATTATTCCTTGTAACTGCTTCTCTTAGGAAACACACACACCCACTACTGGTTTAATAAAGTTTTATTTTTCAAAATGTACAGCTGGTGGGACCTATAAAAAAATTAAAAAGAATTAGTATAGTCTTGTAATGGGGATGCATACTTCCTACATTATGAGACCCTGGATTCTTCCTCACCTGTTTTTTCATGCGTCTTCACCAACAGCTGGGGCATCCCCACCTTTGGTGTTTCTGGTGTAAATTACTTGAGCTCTGTGCTTTGAAACTAGTTTAATAAGTCCTAAGGAGAAAATACAAGGTTTTCACATGGTAAGTGACATTAGAAAGTGAATTTTATATTCCTTCCCAAAACAGAAATGCTGAATTTGAGCATGAGAATTTACTATCAGGTAGACCTGCCCACATTTCTCGGATATAATCTAATCTTACTTATCCTTTCTAAAGGAAGGACTCTTACCTGCTCTTGAGATGGCCATCCTCACAGCACCTTATCCAAATTAGGCACTACACATAGCTTCACCTAACTGCCACAGGGGCCATGGCACAAAAATGGCTGCTGGGGCTGACATGTTAAAATCATATTACTAACAACGACTGGTTAGCCTATTTTTTACAATTCCAATAAAAACATTTGAGATGGCTAACACAATCAGGCCAATTTCATTTGCAAAACCACACCAGTACAATATTCCCTCTCACCTTTACTAAGGAGCTCCTGAAGGGCTGCCCTAGCCAAGGAACCACGGATCTTCAGTCGCTCAGAGACAACAGCTGGGGTTATAAGCTTGTAGTTGGGAACTTCCTTACAGAGTTTATCGTATGTTGCTTTGTCAAATAAGACTAGGTTATTGAGCTTGTCCCGAACTTTGCCTTTGGACCACTTCTGCTCACAAAAACAAAAAGGAAAAAGAATCAGTGCCTCTGGAAGAATCACCCTTTTTTCTCCCAATCTGTGCCAGAGAAATCGCTCTCTGGCAATACTGAGGTCACTCTGTCCCTTGGCCTGCAAAAATGTGAAATTCAGAATTTGCAGAAATTCTACAAATTAAGATTGAAATAATAGAAAGCCTGGATATAAAGTAAGAAAGACCCTGGTAACTAATGCCATCAGATACATTTTGAAACTTTTGGATATGGGCTGAACCCCACTAGGCTAATTAAAATAACATTCCATACTAGGCATCAAAACAAATGTTTATTTTTTTAAAAAGATGTTTTAATCCTTACTCTGGGACATGCTTATTGCTTTTATCTTTTATTTGTTTTTTAGGGAAAGGGGGAGGGAGAAAGAGAGGAACAGAAACATCAACTGGTTGCCTTCTGCAAGCACCCAGGAAGGGATGGGAGTACAGTGCCCAAAACCCGGGCATGTGCCCTGATGAGAATGGAACTGGAGACCTTTCTGTTTGCAGAATGATGCGCAACCAACCCAGGCCTAGTCAGGGTCATGTTTATTGACTTCAGAGATAGGGGAAGAGAGGGCAGAGAAACACTGATTGGTTGCCTTTGGCATACGCCCTGAAACTTGTGGTTTACACACTCCAACTAAGCCATGTCAGCCAGGGTCAGGACAAATGTTTGATACTTATTTGTTTAATTTCCAAGTAGTATGTACTACCCCATTCTTTAAATGAGGGGAAAAAATGAGAATAGTGGTAAGGGCATAGCTTTCATAATCTGACTCTAGCCCTGGCCAGGTAGCTCAGTTGGTTAGAGTGTTATCCCATTAAGCCATTGTTACCGGTTCCATCCCTGGTCAGGACACATACGAAAAGCAACCAATTAATAAGTGGAACAACAAATCAATAAACAAATTACGATTAAAAATTAGCCCTGGCTGGTGTGGCTCAGTGGAATGAGCGCTGGCCTGGGAACAAAAAGGTGCTGCATGTGATCGAGAGACATGCCTGGGTTGCAGGCCAGGTCCCCGGTCGGGGGCAACCCATCCATGTTTCTCTTACACATTAATGTTTCTCTCCCTTTCTCCTTTTCCCTCTAAAAACAAATACAATCTTCATATGTATACTTAAAATTTAAAAAGTAACCAGACTCTACTACCCACAACGTTAAAACCACTCACTGTATGTCACTTATTACTACAGCAATATGGAACGGGCGTCCCCAGTCATCTTTAATCTTAGAAAAATTGACTCCCACCTTCTTTTTAGCCTTGCCCCCAGATTTGTTCACTGGGTCTTTGTCTTTCTTGGCAGACTTCCCAGCATCTTTCTTCTTCTTGTCGTCTTTCGGAGGCTGTTTAAGAAAGGTGGGAAAACAGCCAGCTCATAACACAGGCCCATGCTCCCCTCCTACTGCGCCTCCTACCCCAGTCAAGCTCCACTAGCAAGCACGCGGTTGAGGCAATATACCGGCCCCGTCCTCTGAGCTGCAACCGGCAGTTCTGGAGGCCCCCCTCCCAAAGGAGGCTCAATCGCGCCCAGGCACTGTCCGGCCCTCAGAACCGCACTAGCTTCGCACTGCTACTCACCATTCTGAAACTCAAGGAGCACCAGATCCCACTGCTACCTGAGAAGATGTCGGACGAAAAGGAAGCACCACTCGCAAGCAGTCCCACAAACCAACGCCCTCAGCAAGTGCTTCCGGGGTAAGGGGTGGAGTCCCCAGCAGTCCCATAACCATCGCCCTCAGCCAGTGCTTCCGGGGTAAAGGGTGGAGCCTCGGAAAAGACGTTGGAAGCACCGTACCCTCGCTGAAGCCAAACTAGGGCCTTGAGCCCCTGGAATCCTGGTTTGGCTTTGGCTTTGCCTTTAGCTTTGAAGCAGTCACACATTGCACTAAGAACAGGGAGAGAAATGGAAAACTATCAGAACCCAGCAACTAATTTTCTGGCGTAACACCCGTGTGTTGCCCCAAGTGCGCAAGCGCTGCAAACGTCCGCAAGCGGGAGCTGGGAGGAAGAAGTTAATGTGGTTCTATGACCCGGAGGCAGGAGACGTATCTCGTGACTGCTACTCTGGGCGAGGCTGGTCCACTAGCAGTCTCGAGCTGCGCCAGCAGTGATGGCGATTTTCAGTGTGTATGTGGTGAACAAAGCTGGCGGCCTGATTTACCAACTAGACAGCTACGCGCCACGGGCCGAGGCTGAGAAAACTTTCAGTTACCCACTTGATCTGCTGCTCAAACTACACGACGAGCGAGTGCTAGTTGCCTTCGGCCAGCGCGACGGCATCCGGGGTTGGCTAGACTCGGGAAGGGGGTTGGTACTGCGGCAGTAGGCGGGGACGGAGGGAGTGGGGGGCTGGGTCCCCGTTCCCTCGGCGGTATCCGAAGAATGGAGTTTAATTTACTTTTGCCTTACCGTTGCAGTGGGTCACGCAGTGCTGGCCATTAATGGCATGGACGTGAACGGCAAGTACACAGCTGATGGAAAGGAGGTGCTGGAGTATCTAGGCAATCCCTCTAACTACCCGGTGTCCATTCGATTCGGCCGGCCTCGTCTCACCTCCAACGAGAAGCTCATGTTGGCCTCCATGTTCCACTCGTATGTCTTCCAGTCCTGCCCAGTGCCTGTAGGCCTACACTTGTGTCTTAGACTGGCTGTGTTAATGTGGTTCTATGACCAAGCAGGCACCTGAGCTGCACTGCTTACTTTTCTCTACTTCCTTTTAAATCATCAGTTATATCCTGGCTGGTGTGGCTCAGTGGACTGAGTGCGGACCTGCGGACCTAAGGGTCGCCGGTTGGATTCCCAATCAGGGCACAAGCCTGGGTTGCTGAGCCAAGTGCTCAGTGGGGGGCCCACAAGAGGCAACCGCACATTGATGTTTCCCTCTCTCTTTCTCTCTAAAAATAAATAAGTAAAATGTTTTAAATAAATAAGTCATCAGTTCATGTGCTATAAAAGGAAAAAGAACTGATTCGGTATCATTAGGTTTTAGGTAGTATTGGCAGTGGTGTGGTGTTGCCTAAGTGAGCTTCAATTCTCTGAGCCTTAGTTTCTCTATGCTTATAGTAAGGCAATTGAACTAAACGATCTTTAAGATCTTTTTCTGCTCTCAACTACAGTATGAGATGTGCTGGGTATGCTAGCCATGGCACATATTCCCAGTGTTAATTTGATCCAAAGTTTTTAATGTAAAATGTTGTATAGTAAAGTATAAATGCACAGTAAGCCCTCAGGTAATCTCTTGGGTGGGTTCTACAACTTGAAGCAAAAGGAAGTACAGTTGACCTTTGAACAAGGAGGGGATTATGGGTGTGACCCCTCCTCCCTTTTATTTTAATCTTCACCTGAGGACATGCTTATTAATTTTAGAGAAGGGAAGGGAGGGAGAGAGAGAAGGAAACATCTATTGCTTGCCTCTTGCAGGTGCCTGGATTGGAACAGCAACCCAGGCATGTACCCTCATGGGGAATGGAACCTGCAACCTTTAGATTTACACAACAACATTCCAACCACTGAGCCACACCAGCCCGGGTTCCCACATATAACTTGGACTATCCCAAAACAACTACTGTTATCCCTTGGTGTTTGCAGGGTATTGGTTATAGGACCCCTGCAGATAACCAAAATCCATAGATATTCAAGTCCTTCATATAAAATGGTGTAGAACAATGCATATAGTCAGCCCCCTGCATCCAGTTGTTCCAAAATGCTGGTTGAAAATACTGTTTTTGATTGTAAGTTGGTTGAGTCCTTGTATTTGAAACCTGGGGATAGGGAAGGCTGAAATATTTATTGGGAAAACTTGAGTGTAAGTGGACCTGCATAGTTCAAACCCATATTTGTCAACTGTGTAATGAAACTAATTTTACCATAAGTTAATTGATACAAACAAAAGTTAAGTTCCTGTGGCTTCTCATCAATATTATAATAAAAAGATGTTATTTGAGGACTTGCTGTAAAATCCATGCAGAATTCAAGTGAATTTTAAAGAAAATTTGATATTGCTGCTAGGCAGTTCACACTGCCTCTTCTGACTGACCTGGCTGTAATATGAACTCCTCAGCAGGTAGGATCACTTCAGTGGAAAAGTTTGGGAAGCACTCCTACCTTACAGCAATGGAGTACATTCCCAGCTTTGCCTTCTTTGCAAATAGGCTGTTCGCGATCGGCTCCCAGCTATCTCCTGAACAGGGCAGCTCAGGCATTGAGGTGCTGGAGACAGACACATTTAAACTGCACTGCTTCCAGACACTGACAGGTATGTCTCTCCAGATAGTCCAAAGAGATGCAGTGGGACAGGCTGGGGGAAAGGATTGGCCAAAGCTTTGGTAAGCAGTGTGGGGGGCAGGGGGTAGGGGAGGGTAGCTTTTCCTGGGACAATTGCATAGACACATCTATTTATTTGTTTTGTGAATCCAAAGCTAATATTTAATCTGACTCTGATGTTGTCCACACCACCCAGCATGCTCAGTCCTGGTTATCCTGTGCACAAATAAAACTCACCTTAATGTTATCTCATGTTGCACATGTTTTGGAAGGTATAAATGTTGTTTCAAAATTATGGATGCCAAATGCAAATGACCTTTGGATCATGAGCATCATTGCTTTACTCCCTTAATGTAGATAATTGAAAATTGTCTTGAGTTTGTCCCTCCTGGCACTTTCCACTAAGGGACCCCCAAGACTAGCAATAAGTGACAGAGCCAAAACTCAAAGTCTGGTCTCAGCCAGCTGGGTGATGTGATAAAGTCACTTTAATTTTCTGGTCTCACTTATAGATTTAAAATCTTACCTTTCCTGCTTTGTGGAGCAGTAAGGATAAAATAAAGATAGGCTGATGAAAGTGCTTTGCAAAATTGAAAGTGCTGTACAACTACAGGATAACATTATTTGCTGCATTTTCTATCCTTTGGTAACCATTCCTGGCCCCTCCAGGGATCAAGTTTGTGGTGCTGGCAGACCCTCGGCAAGCTGGGATAGATTCTCTTCTCCGAAAGATTTATGAGATTTACTCAGACTTTGCCCTCAAGAATCCATTCTACTCCCTGGAAATGCCTATCAGGTAGGTAGTCCCACTCCCCAGATCAAATTCTCCTTGCCTCAACCTGTGTGTTGTTTTCCAAAGTCATTTTGAAGTGTAATACAAGTTATTTTTAGATTTTATTTATTTATTTATTTTTAGAGAGGGGAAGGGAGGGAGAGAGAAACATCAACGTGTGGTTGCATCTCACGTGGCCCCCACTGGGGATCTGGCCCACAACCTAGGCATGTGCCCTGACTGGGAATCGAACCTGCGACCCTTTGGTTCTCAGCCCATGCTTAATCCACTGAGCTAGGCCAGCCAGGGCATACAAGTTATTTTTAAATAAAACAATGTGAGTAGCTTTTTGGTTATTTAAGAAACCAAAAACTCCTTGGAGTTTATGTCCTTCAAGCAGGCTCTTCACTGGCTCTGCATCCAAAGTGGGGAGAGAGCCATAGTCCTCACACTTTGTCTTTATTTGTGCCTTTTGGGTCTGGTGTAGGTGTGAGCTGTTTGACCAGAACATGAAGTTAGCCCTGGAGGTGGCAGAGAAGGCTGGAACTTACGGACCTGGGTCATAAGCTGAACCTGCAACAGCCCCTCCCCCCTCCTAAATACTGAAAGATCCTATAGCAGGGTCCTGCCAATTCCATTCCAATGGAAATCCCAACAGTCTTGTTAGTACCCTTGAAAAGGGAAGGATGTTGAACCTGATGACATAGTGATCCCTGAGCCTTAATACTATGCTCTCTTCCCTCCTAATATCTATCATGGTCCTACTTCCCAATTCTGTACAGATTTATTTATGGAGGAGGTAGACCCACAAATGCTGTAATAAACATTCCTTTGATCTCACTGTTTGCTATCCTAGCTGATGGTTTTGGGAAAGAGTTCCAGGAGGGGAGATGGGAATGACAGGGAATTCTGGGGAGATATTCTAGTAAAAAGCAAAACAAATGTGTTCTTTAAATGAATGAACATGGAACTTTGAATCACAGGCCTTAGGTCTAGTTTCATAATTGCTACTGAATTCCTAGAGTGGTGGCAGTGGTGGTGATGATGATGGAATATTTATTAAGTGTTTACAACCAAGCTTTACTGCTTTATCTCTGAAATGATCATTGCATTATACAGTGTTAAGTTGAAGACAGAGAAGACATGAACTTAAAGGAGTCCATGCCAGCTTTCCCTTTCCAGGGAAATGACGTCTCACTTCAGAGCAGGCACTGAAAGAGTATTTACCAAAGAAAGCTGTCTCTGGCTTATACTACCCCTTTTGAAAGAATGACTCACTGACAATGTTTAGTATCAAATCTAGTTTTAATTTCTATAACAAGTCTTTCTACCCTCCTACCCATATCGCCCTGTTGTACCCAGGATAATGGTAAGAGTGATGGCCTCTCTTCCCCTAGAGCCTGAGGTATTGGCAGTAGTAGCTACCCCTACTGAGAGGCCATAGGGGAGAAGGCAGGGGCGATGGGTGCCCTGCAGCTGCAGGAGGAGCCTCACCTCTGGTAGGGATGGGGTGAGATGAGGACAGGGAAGGACTCAGAGAAAAATGGTATAGGAGACTCCCTGACTGCAGTAGTTTCCTATTTGAAAGCAGAAAATAGGAGTCCAAGAACAAAGGTTGTCTTTTAAATAGAGCATAGAATGGGGAGCTGGGACCTTATTAGTGACTGATAATTTCCAGTGCCACCTG